GAAATAATAAACTATGTTATTAATCAGTAAAAAAATAGTGTACACTTCTTGCCAAAATAAATATTTCTGCCGTAGGCACAACTTAGCCAAGGTTTTTAAACAACATGTTTAAGATATATGTAACGATAGTGCCGTATATATAATAGTATCCTTGTTTTAGCTTACCCTTCCTCCTGTCGGTTTGCTGGTTCGTTGCGGTGTTGTCCTTTCAATGTAGTAGAGTCATTTCTTCCGTTGCGAAAACGAAGTAACAGAACGGAATGTTTGACGCCATTTTAGTTCAGGAACATACTAGTAATCTTTGCAAGCCGAGACAAACGTGTTTTGAAAAAGCAAACCGTCGTTGTGACAAAGCAAGATTCAAACGACCCACCAAAACAAAGCATCGCGTCTCTTATTGGCTGGTCCCGGCGAGAGCGAGGTAGGATTGGTCGTCAGTCATATAATCACGTGATCGCGTTCAATACTACAACCATCTTGTTTTTATATTATATATATAAATCGCCTGTGCAGTCTGAACACTTGGATGATAGGATGTTTCTGATTGTGTGAATGTATTTATTTCAAGGCAGACAAATGATCTTCATAATTCTAATTCGTCATGATTACATGGCTTTATTCGTTCTAGAATTACACAACTTGTCGCTCACTAAGTGAAATAAAACCGCACTTCAACTCCAACATAACCTTACTCTTTGTAAATGTATCCAAAATCCACAATTAACGTCATGAGAGTTGACTTGTTTTGCTGGATTTCAGTATTTTACCAGGCATGGGGACGCTGTGAGTTCTCCCTTTGTTTACACATAGGCTATTCACATAAACGGACGCCATGTCAGACACATCGCAATACACATCGACCGAACTACAATGTAAAGCTTGCATATTATTACCCATACATGTACCTAAAAATCATAACAAACTGATCAGGTCACGTTAGTTCAAACCCCTTTAGTCAAGCGTTTGATTACATCATGGTAATGAACCTCACGGATAAACTATTATTTCCAAAATAACAAATTCAGATTTAGATTGGAGTGTAGATTTAGGTCATTTTGACCGAGTAGGTCATATAACCCCAGCGTCGGGGCGCCCTACGCTCAAATGTGCTTTGTCGTATGGACGACATCACGATAAATCAAGCCAAGGACGCATAGGTTCAAATGTTGTATTAACAATCCTTGATCATTCTATATCTAATTTGCTTAGATTAAAGTGCTGGCAACTTTGGTTCAAGTAATTATCACCTGAAACATGAATACACGCAGTACCTAATTACCCCTTATTGTTAGCCGCTCCCCAACACACGCCAAGTGTGCGGGGCGTAAATTTCCGTGCACGTGCACGGCGAGCACGAATCCGGGAGTGTAAGGAAATATCCGGGGCCGTACACGCGGAGCCCGGAAATCCATGGACGCGACCAGGACACGGCGAATTTCACGGGCGTGTGCGGGACTGGAAACTCTTGGAAACGTGGTTTTTCATACAGTGGCAGCTACCCAAATTCTGGTGCAACGTTATGCAAACATTCAATGAAAACGATAAGAAATCTCAGGTTGAATGTCGGTGTCATAGCGATTTCACCCACCCCCCCTCCTCAACAGATATTTCCCACTACCGCCCCTGAGACTACTCTTTAACACCGCACCACGGGTATGGCAGGTACACAAAATTTAATTTAACAATTCTAATTACGTTATTAAGGGTTCGGTTGAAGCAAGAAAGTAACGTCCTTGGTTAGAATATTCCCTGTTGTTCTGCTTAACAGCATAGGCATCTAAACAACGCAGGATGTGAGCTGATATATGCTTAAAGTTTCATTGGTAAAATGATTTTTAGAGTACATCATTTATGTGGAAATACAACATAATTCCCCAAGAACTACTATGATTAAAATTATTCAACAAATATGTGTACTTGGACATGCTAAAACGGACGTTTTCGGGTAAAAAACTGATTTTGGGGGATGTATGGGGTGGAATTGTTAAAGGGGGGTGAGGTGGGTGGGGCGAATTACGAGCTGGGAGAGCGCGAATCGCTAGAGATTGGAGAGCGAAATCACGAGGGTGTCGAGATTGAAGTACGTTCTGCTTCCGTGTTTGTAAGATCTAATAGAAATCTACTTACTAGCATTCCTTTTTAGTCGTAAGCGTTTCTTGGTAGTCCTTTACAATCGAAGATGATGGCCTGTGTCTTTTCAGCGGGTGTGACCTCGTGTTGCTTGTGAATGTTTAGTTGTTCATATTCGGTTAACAAATTGTAATAGACCCCTTTCTGGATACCGCGGCCATTTTGAATCCGCTCTCGCGAGAGTACGATCCAGCGAGAGCTCGCGTGATTTTATGATGGGACGGTAAGAACCTTGGCTGGGCGCTACGTAACAATGGGGTCCCCAATGGAAAGTCAACTGGAATATACATGCATTTGTATAGGATAAGAAGGGAATCACAAGCACGATTATTCTTACCCGCCAGCCAGACAGCTCTTGTAGAAGACAAGGTATTCCTGCTCGTTCCAGTCCCGCGGTACGGCGATCATTCTTCCCTCGGCGGCACACCTCCCCTGGGCCGTGGTGTAGTTGACCAACTCGTTAACATCGGATTGTGCCACGTACGTTTTGTTGTTGGGCAAACTGAGGTTACCAACCGTTGGACAACTCTCCGGGAGATCCCAACCTGCAAAACCATAATGATGACCGTTTAAAGCATTTTTTATTTCAACATTTCAGGACTGGAAATGGTGACGGCACACTCACCGTCCCTAACGCAGAGGACAAATACGGAACAGGACAATATTAATTTTTACTTGAGTTACTAGTAAGTGAGGAATGTCGTATAAAGTGCCTTTCCCAATGGCACAAGATCGGTGGCATGTCAGGACTCGAATCCGGGACCTCAGGGTTCCGAGTCGAGTACTTTACCGCTACGCCACACGACCCCACCTTAAAGCATAAACCGTTTAAAGCATTTTGCACCGGCATACTGATTTGGCTCCTATCCTAGGCTCCCTAAAGTGAGAGTTAACAAGCACTTCGAGACTTCAGACTTCCAGTAAAAATGCAATCCCCTGTGTTCTAACACCCGCCACCACACGCCCATCTACCACCATACTCCCTATTTTCCCTAAATGACTCTGAAACATTCACGTTCACGTTCACCCAATGTCCTCTTCCTGACCTTTTGATCTGCTGACAGTGTGTCTGTCAGTCCTACCATCACCCATGTGCTGTCAACCCATTATGTCAGATACATTACGAAAAGCTTAAGAGCCGTGACTTCTGTTTATAAGGACAATATGTCTTCACCTACCGTCGCAATTTAGGCCATCTCCGTTGAGTGTTTGTCCGAGGTGACAGGAACACTGGAAGCTGCCCTCAGTGTTGGTACAGACGTGCTCACAGCCTCCATTAGAGTTCGCACACTCGTCAATGTCTGTTCGTAATCAAAATAGGAAGTCACCTGATATACGCATACACCTACGCATTAGAATGACACTTTTCATAACCAAAATTCGAAAGTCATAATAGAATGAAGGGCAAAGCTAAACATCAACATATTACTACTCTGTCATCCCTGTTTTTGTTTTTGTTGGTATGCAATATTTTTTTGGAAATAGATGTCAAGTTCATGCCGTTCCTGGATTCCATACTACTGTATGTTCTTATTGGTAACATTTATGGTTTCAGATCACAATTAAAGTAAATATGCAGTAATTAAAGCAAAACACAAGTTTTAAAAATTCGTTTTAAAAAGGTGCTGTACTTGTTAAAAAAAGTGCTTTCAAGTTCATGCCAAAAAGGGCATTGTCGGATTTGATCATATTTTTATCTCGGTAACATTACCGGTTTCGGATAACAATTTTAGTAGACATGCGACATTTAAAGCAAAACATAACTTTTACAAATTCGTTTTGAAAAGATGGTATACCTTTTCTTAAAACTCTGTATATATCGAATGTTACTCCTTTAATGCTAATTATACAATATATCGATGGAAGAGGCCCTAACCAACATAGAACAAACCGACATAGTAAAGGTAAAATCATAGTCGGTGTTTCTATATATTATATACAAGCTTTGAAATCGTTAGATATAATAGACCAGTTAAAAGAAACGTCACTAGAGTTAATTAAAGTACAGAAAACAGCTGATTGTTTTGAGGTTACCGTTGCATGACACCCCATCTCCATCTAGGACATAGCCATCTCCACAGTAGCACTCGAAACTGCCGATGGTGTTGTTGCAATTCACGGAACATCCACCGTTGTTTGAGGCGCACTCGTCTGTGTCTGAAAATACAGCAAATACATTTTGGTCACACACAACATTTATGTTTAGTTAAACCTTAGACCTTAGACGAATCTACTCGACTGTTGTTGCAGCGACATAATATAGCTTACCGTTACAGGAAACACCGTCATCGTTCAATATGTAGCCCGTTTGACAGGAACAGGAGAAGCTGCCAACAGTATTAGTGCAGTTCTGTGCACATCCGCCGTTTCCTGTGGCACACTCGTCTATATCTGCAAATATAACGGGTTAAAGTAAGATGACACTCAGGTTAAGTAATTAAAAAACACTGGTACATACAGAATGTGCTGGAAAATAGATCGATTGTATGAATCTGTCAGAAACAGGATAAAGAAACGGTGGCATATATATATATATATATATATATATATATATATATATATATATATATATATATATATATATGTATATACTAGCGCGTGAAAGATGTTTGGGAGCCAGATATCAGCTTCCGAATCTAGATCTTTAAAAAAAGATAGTGCAAGATTGCCAACAGATAGAGAGAGAGAGGTGTTTGATAGGCGAGAAACGAACATGAATGACAACGCGATGCCACCTGCTTGATAGAATCGTGTGGTAATTTGGTGATTGCAGTATTTTTTCCTACCGGGTACAGGTGCACTGTAATCATTGTAAGCTGTTCAAATCAAGAGAAAAACAAAACAGACTATATATCAAAAGAGCTGTATTGTTTGCATTTCGTAACAAGAGTTCGGTGATCTCATACCTCCATGACATGTTTAGTGTTTTTCGTAAATCTTATGCATGATTACAAATATTACTACTTGTAAATGGCTTACATTTATAATCCTGCTCATTAGCAAAATTTGATTGCAAATAAATCACATGGCGCCTACATAGTAACATGTAACACACTGGGGAAATCCTTATCATTTGGCATAGAAAATGTGTGATATTGTCGGTTATATGCAAGCACGGCATCTAACATACATGTACCTTTGCCAAACAATTCTAACCATCCAAATGGACTAATTAATGAATTATAAAAAAAACACCAAAAATCCGCAAAGAAATATATATTTTCATCAAAGGTTCTTTGAATTGGGCATATTTTTTACTGAATCTGGCTATGCAGTCCTGGAAAACAGAGTTTTGGTGCATATTTTTAAACAAAGAATGTATCCAGACCGGTCACCCCTCTGTGCGAAAGGTCATACAAGTGGATCCAACCGATAGTACTTTAAAAACACCGAAGGTCAACGGTTGCAACCATTTTCACGCTCAAAGGGATGTTTTGAGGCCACAAAAAGGCACCATTTTCACGCCCGAAAACACATATACAATAAAAACAAAAGAACGTGCATCATCTACAGCCCATTAGCAAAACGTATACCGAGTCCCCCAAAAAATCCGTCCACCCAAATGAGAGAAACAGATGCAAACATGAAAATCTACATCTCTCACATCTTTCCGCGGAAGGATGTCTCCTTCCCCGGAGGCAATAACATGAAAATATGAAACCACAATATGGAGAGTATAGTACGTTGGAAAATGAAGATGGCCGTTCATAAGGTATAATGGTAGTTTTCTACCAACCGCACCAACCAGTGTTATATACATATTGCTCACCGTCACAGGATAGGCAGTCATCGTTCAATTTGTAACCAGCTATTAAACAGGAGCAGAAAAAACTGTCGACAGTATCGGTGCAGTTCTGTGCACATCCTCCGTTTCCTGTGGCACACTCGTCTGTAGGTTCTAAAAGAAATACAGAAACATCGGTTTAACTCAGAATAACAGGTAAACGTACTGGTACAAATAGTAGAACATCCTGGATGATGAACATGTTGGAAATGGAGAAGCGCGTTTGATTGTTTGTTTGTATTAACTTTATTCATATAACCAGAATATAAATATCGCACACTGATATTTAAAGATTTATTTAGGGTTAACCCGGAAAATAAAATCGCATAACATTATAACGGATAAAACGAAAGTCAACTTAAACGAAAGTCAGCTGGAAATAAACAAGACGTCTCCTGATTTTGATATTAGGTTTACATTTTGTTTGATTTATTATGAGTGAATAGTGTCGAACACTTTCCTGCCTGACTCACGGTCGTTAACAAAAAAAAGTAGGAAGCAGTGCCAAATGTATCAATGGTGTCATTATCAAGTGGATTTATACTAGGGTTAATGATAAAGTTTAACAAATAGGCCAACTGTATGTGCTGCTGAAATTGCATAACTTGAGAGGACGTTTACCTGTAAGCCTCTTGAAACTTGCCCGAAACCCTGACGCCTGAAGAACCGAGTTGGTGACAAAGGTAACGTGCATCAAGTTGCCCGTACTGTTCACAACGCCAGGGTTACTCTCACAAAACCTGCCTAGCACAGCAGAGCTTTGGCTGCTCCCGTCATACACCGCGACGTAATCCGATAGGCAGTCGCCATCATCGGCCAGGTCAAATGTCAGGAAGGTCAGTGACACGTTTTTTCCAGACGGTGCTTCGATGGTCCAGCTGCACAGACTGTCGCTGCTGTAGTTCCCCCACCCATCATCCCCACTGGTTATCGTGCCGCTGGTAGCCATGGTAACGTAGGACGGCTTGTCGCCATTGCAGTGGTAGGTTAATTCTTCCTGGGAGGCTGCGCTGCATTTCGATGAAACTAAACCACAAGTTTTTGTCAATTTTACTATCCATATCCCTATGTCCAAAGAGGCTCTGCAACATACATAACCTGTTACTCCTACATGTATGTTCAATTACATCTTGCCATTTCTCTATAATGCTTGAAGATTTAGTTCGTTAGAGGGTATTAAAGAAAATGTTGGCGTTGCATTGTAATTATGATGGTCAATAAAAAAAGCTTTGCTAAGCAATATCACTGTTTAGTCGATACAACACTGAAATCATAGGAAAATAACTGTTCTAACAAATACTACTCAACATAACCAGTCAGCAGGACAAGAGTCCCACAAAAAAAAAAAACTTATTCTGAATATCTTCAATAAAGGTAACAATCGCGGTGAAAACAAAAGTTACCGTTTTCTATCATGTACCGATAAGGCAAAGTCCGATTAAGTTCGACAGAAATTCACAATGCTGAAAATACAAATTCGAACCGACGCCCGTATAATATACAAGAAAACAAAGCAAAGAGAAAGTTTAAAAAATAATAACGGGAACTATTCGTGTGTACTATTGCTGATTCGTCGTTGATTTTAACAGCTCGGCCGGGCCCCGGTTCAGAAATGTGACCTCAGCATAACTAAAAATTGTCGTGTATCTATTTCCCATCACACAATATTAAAAAACCATTAATTGTTCTAAAAACAAAGGAGCTCTTCAAAACAAAAATTGCAATATATTACTTCTGGCACAAAGAGCGTCCTTGTTGTCGAAGTTGTTGCCATTGGCGCACCAAGCAGATCTGACTCCACACGCGCCGTCATTGCCATACCTGCCCCGTATAGCAACAAAAGTATCATGCAGTGGCGCGCATGCATTTGGAAGCACGGAACCACACAAATGATATGCTAGAACTTCGTGATTTTTTTCTGTTGATGATATTTTAGTCCCAGTCGGGATGGTTTGACAGTAAGAAAACCATCGGTCCGGTTTCGCCTCTTCGTTACTCATTTGGCACACCGTCTGCATCCCCTGGGCTTCACAAGCGGTACGGAGGTTGGCACTGAGCATGTTTCCAGGCACGGGTACTTTGTAGATGTCAAAGCCGTAAAACGAAGGCATCAGTAATGAATTTTCTGAACAGAAACAAACAGACAAAAAAAAACACTTTTCATCTAATCATTCGACTGACGCATTATAAATGTTTAGAGTTAAAACCTTTGATCCTACACAAAGTTCTTTGCCTGGAGCTTTCGACCAGTCACTCTGGTCCTCTTCAGAAGACTGGCCCAGTGAGGCTTGTCACGTGGCGTGTGACGTGCGACGGGGGCCGACATTGCCTACCTTTGACTACATAAACGGGCTGCTTTCTCAGGAAGCTATGGGTGAAAACTTTTATGATAGTAGAAAATATTCCATATTTACCTAAATACCCGTACAGTTGGATCTCGGCCACGTAAGGCTCCAGGCCGTGTGACGTTTGCGTGATGTCCACTCGCCAGTAGCGACTCCTTGCCACAAACCCTGTAAACGCCTTCACCTGCCTCCCCGCCAAACCGGAAAAGGAAGTGACGTCAGTCCAACTCCCTGTTGTGTTCAGCGCTGTCTTGATGGTGAAGGCGGCAATGTGATGAGTGGCTGCGTCATCTTCCTCGTAGCCAATCACGCGGATCTTGGACAACCAATAGTATTCTTGCAAATCAAAAGTAATGAAGTAATGGTTGTCAGTCACACCTGTTGGGCGCCAGTAGGTGAAGAGGTTCCCGTCTCGTGTCTTATAGGCGTCATAAACAGTACCGCCGTCATCGTGGGGGGTCCCCGCTGAGCTGATCACTGAGCTGAAGTCCAACGTTAACCACCCTGCGTCTTTTCCTTCATAAGGGCAAACAAGTCACGGTTACGGTATCCGGTTGTGTAAAACAACCAGACTACTGCTAGAGTAAAGAAAGACTTTAGAGTCTGTAAAATCATGGCTGGAGTGCATAAAGACAAGTTGAGAATTTCATACTTAAAATATTAAAGGTTGTAATGTAAGATGTAAAATGTACAAAATGTTGTTTGTTTTACGTCTGCCATATGGGAAAGGTTATTATCTGAAAACTTCTTGAGTCACTGATGCTTTAAGATCTTTTGGAAAAAAGGCATCACTTCCTTTCTTTGAATAATTTATCAAATTGAATCTAGCTTGAATCATATCCACTTCACACATCTTTGTTTCGAAAATAAATAGATTTTGAATACAATCAATCAATCAATCAAATGGCGCCAGGCTAAAGTTCGTAACAATTGTAACATTCATTTAAAAACATTATCCATCAATTACAAAATCGTTAATAGTACATTGATACGTAAAGAGCGTCTTACTTTTAAAATATAAGGTGTATAAGTACAATAATGAAGTTCTGGCAACTTTTGTCAACGGTGTGCTTGGGCTTCAACGGTGTGCTTGGGCTTCATTTAGTATTCTTGGGCTTCATTTAGTATTCTTAATATTAATAACACATAAGAGCTTTCAGGGAGGCATTCTGAATTGTTTTTACCTTGAGCGACGAACACTTCTACTTCACTCAGCGTGAGAATGTTTGTCCGGCCGATCAGCTGCACTGACACGTAACGGCCGATGATTGGCTGATCACAGTCGACGGTGATACTCCGATCCTCGGGTGGATGGTCTAGCTGATTGGTCGTTCTCCCGCAGATGGAGTTCTTTGAAATGTCCGAATCCTCTCCAACTCGAACTTGGAACTCTTCAAGGCGATTCCCTGTGACATTACACGGTGGTCCCGTTGCTATGTTAAAATCCTCGTTGCTAAGCAAATAGGCCCCGCCCACAACCCGGTGCGCAGTGAGCAGCGGCAGTGTTCAGATAAACAACACAACTTTCGCCCAATATAACGCACGATGCGATTATGAAGTTAGAAAAAGAATCACGCACACACACAAAAAATTAGTTCGCTCCCCAAATATGTATAAAATAAGAAATGACAACGAAGAATGCAATTCAAATTTCCCGCCGACTGTTTGTGCGTACATAAGGTCATTTTGGGTCATTGAACTTTAACCTACCGCTACATTTCGCTAATTTACGCATCAAACATATGTTTTATCCATAATGTAAACTTTAGGACCTTTAAATTTCATTTCTCTTGTAGAATTTTTGTTGTCTGTGAGTTTTTAACTTATTTTGTCGATTTTCTAGTATGTTTTCTCCCATAATTCCATAACGGCGCAAGAGAATCACGTCATTTTTTTCAAGATGGCGGCCAAATGTTTACTTTTCCGATTGGTATATTTTTTATCGGATTCTACCGATAGGATCGGGATATATTACTCAAAATACATTTTCTGCGTTTTAGTTCAAAATTCACGTGGAACAGAGGGTTTGTTTTAGAGTTATAATGAGGACGTCGGTGGAGATCAGAGCGGTTCGTTCTCACCTTCTTCCCGGGAAGGCCAGTGAAATGGAAATTTCGACCAGCGTGGCCCTATTGTTCTCCTCCCGGGCGCGAGTTTTAAAGACAACAGTGCGTTGGCTCGATGCAAATCAACCGCGATACTGTCCCTTTGAGAAGATTTTCTTTTACAGTTCAAGGGAGTTTTTCCAGTCGTAATTGTATATATCGTATTTATCAGGGAAAGTTCATATTTCCCCAAGTGGACGCCTATCATTGTACCGTGACAAAGAGAAGTCAAAACTACGTCGCGGTAGCGAACGAGAATAAAATTTACTTCCCCACCGTATGCTTTTTTTAACTTCTTGGCTTATTTGGGCGACATCATATGGTAAATCTAAAACTATCCCCATCCGTTCCGTCGTGCAACCGTGTCGAGGTCGTCGGTTGGAACCTGAAGCTCCATGGTTTGAAGAAATAATTTTGACAAAAATCACAAAAGCTTTGTAGTTTGTGTCGGCACGCGCGAGTACTAGTAACTGAAACATAGCATCGACAGTGATCGACAAAATGGTTGCTGGAGATAGAACGCCGAACATTGCATTGAATGTGTTATTTGGGATTTGAAATGCAGGTAGGTGTATAACTCCTTAGCTACACGAATTTAAAAAAAACATGGGGCTATAGGTTTATAAACTGTGACACAAAATGGCGTCGGTTTGTAAACAAAGGAAAAAGGAGGGAACCGGTCTAATCCAGATATGTTGTGAAAAAACTCTGGCTTCAGCCGACTTTCTTCTACAATGATTTACTATTATACTTCTACTATTTCTAAAATCTTCTTAGTACGGTTATGTTTTAGTACGGTCTATCATTTGACTCCAGAACGTTACGATGTATTCCCCGTATTAGACGAAGTACTCGGCACGCCGGCCAAACAATCATGGCTTCTGTGCTGTTTCCGCGCCGTAAACCTCGTTTTGTAACAGGTACAACAAGAATACATGTATGAGAATGTATCTGAATCGTATGTAGTGTGTTTTTGGTAGATGTTCTTGAATAATCACTCGAGTCTGGAATATTTTAGACATATTCTAGATGTTCTGTCATGCAGCCGATACCGGCGCGTTCCTTTGGGCGCGTTCCGTGCCGTCTGAAGTATGCAGTAGCGCGATCAAGGCCGATCGGAGCCGGGGAACATTAATATCTGTAGAATTTTTTAGTGTGTTGAATTACGAAATAAGACAAATTGTAGCACAGTTGCGAATTATTGTTGGTGGCATAAGGAAATTAAACATGGCTTGAATGAGTGTTGGGGCATTGTTAATTGTGTGAATTAAAGAACAATAGGGGCGGGGAAAGGCGCGCATATGAAAGGACAAGATCGCGGGAAAAAAACAGCGACTCGAAGTATCACCAAAACATGCCAAGGCCCCGCCCGCTAAAGCGTGAACCAATCAGCTATTGTTGCCAATAGTGAAATGACTGATTGACACCAACTTCTCATTAATATTAATGATTTCCAAGTGAGGATTTTTGATGGCCTTTTTGACCATCGTGATTACATAGAAATCATTGTTGTCAATATTAATTTCACAAAAAGAAAAAAAATATATACTCATGCATACACTATTAAATTATATATTAAAGTGGCTACGTGTATGAGACAAATAGAATGGTACATCGAATCTAATAACTCGCTGCATCATGTGAGTGATCATATTCTCAGTAGTATTAACATTAGGGCCCATCACCCTTTACTCAACCACAGGAAATTCATTTCATTAAGAACAATGCACGCCCGTACCAACTGAGTCCCTCCTGTTCAGCAGACGTACTCTTTCGATGATGTAAATTCCGCCCAAATCCAACTTCCACCACGGCTCAAATTCGATCTGTGTATGCGTAATCGTAGGGTGAACTGGTCCTTTGTATCCATCCACGGCATTCGATGCGAGGGTGTAGTCAACATAATCACTACTCTGTGTCGCCGGCTTTCCCAAAGCGATGCTTTTTCCTAGTGGTAGTGGATAAAGAAATTTCCATTGCAGAATGTCACTGAACACTAGTGGTATGTTCCGTTCTTACAGTAACATTTATAAAAAATAGCGTGCGTGGTCTTGATTCCCAAGTTTAAATCCAGTGATAATTATATGTTATAACGTTGTACCTTTATCATCTTTTAAAATAATTTTGCATGCCTCGTGGAAAACCAGGTTGGCAAGTGGGAGGTCGCTACCAGTTAAGTACATTTTTCTCCAGAGAAACTAAACCACCAACCAAATATCCCTATAAGCCAGTTCTTTATAAGTAATATGTTTGAAGGATAGCTCTGGTAGAGAAGTCAGGTGCTAACTTTTAAAATAATTGTTCAAACATGGGTGTCTTACCTGTACACAGTGTTGCTGCGTGTTCTATCTGGCTCTGGTTCAAGGCAACGTTATAAATCTGTACACAGGAGACGCTTCCACTGTAGGAATCGGCCCCCACGGCACCGATGCGGACAGCGTGGTTGGTCCCGAGCTGGTACACGCCGATGTCGGTACTGCTGATCTCCAGACCTTCGTACCAAAGCTTCAGGATGCCTGAGTTGTAGTCGTACGTCAGACCAACGGAGTTCCACTGGTTAGGTTTGAGGCACCGCGTCTGCGAGGTCTGACTGGTGGTTGCATTTCTGCTAAAAAGGCTTGAAAGGCGAGAGAAACAGCAATGTAATTAAAGCAGGTGCATTTTTCATTTCAGTCATTATTTGGCCTTACCATAACCTTAAAAGTTTTTTTTTTCTTACTAGATTTTCATTTTTCTTTCTCAGCCTCTTCCCCATCCTTCCTTACCCCATAACGTCTCCCCGTACTTTCCTCTCTATTCAGCTCATCTGAAGCTTTAACATTCGCTGCTACGTACTGAAAACAAAATGTATGCTATTTGGAACAGCCCGCCGGCTAGCTCTTCTACCTGACACATCTTTGAATCTTGCAATTGGTTCGAAGAAGGTAGAACAGGTAACCGAAGCAGTTCTCCTGGGTTTGCATATGGATCCACCACTTTCTTGGAATCTCCATGTTAAACACCTCGTGGCAAAACTATCAAGAAATCTAGCCTATGTTAGAAGATATGTGTGTTACATGCCAGATGCTGTGTGTAAGGTTGTAATCCAAGCTTTAGTGCTATCAATCTTGAACTACTGTTCACCTATACTAGCTAGTGTTTCAGAGTCATGTACTAAGAAGATACAAGTTATACAGAACAAAGTCTGCAGGCTGGCTCTGAAATGTTCGTTCGATACACCAGTTGCCAAAATGCACTCTGATCTTGGTTGGTTATCGGTGAGAAATAGATTTGATGTCAGTACTCTTAAGTTATTTTTCAAGATTGTAACCACAAGTGAGCCACAGGAGATCTATAAATCTCTGGTACCAGTTCATGCGTCTCACAGGTATTCCACTAGGCAATCAGTGCACGACTACTCATTGCTCAAACCTAACAACAATAGTGGAAAGAGGCTGTTTGTTTACAGATCTGTAAAGTTGTGGAACGCATTACCGAGTGAAGTTAAGACTACTGTATAAGCAGCTGATGAGAGGCAGTTCAGGAAAATGACACGTCAGCTTTATGGAACTTAAAGGCTTACCCTGACAATATTGTATATATTCGAAGCAATTTAGTAACTCACAAGTTTTATTGTTGATTTTAGTCATAATTAGTTAAATGACCTCTGGCCTCAACCTCAATTATTTTAATGTGTAATTGCAATGATTGTATGTATTCAGTGCTTGTATTTTATGTGTTGTACTGTTAACGAGCCCTGGAAGATTAGCCCCTCATGGGGCTAAAGGGCATCTCAATAAATCAAATCAAATCAAATCATTTCTACATAATTCTTCAATCATCATCCTTCAAGTACGTATTGTAATGAAAGGTTTTGGCAGTTGCCTTTAGATAGGAGAAGCCAAAGATGAATAATCGGCAGATCACACCATTATATTTATTTTGGCGATTACCTCGGTTTTAACTGCCATTTATGTTATGCTTACTTGCCCATACCTGGCGTTTAAGAAGTACGTGGAATCTTGCCACATGTGGACTCCGCTCGCGCTGTCTCCGTAATGTAGTAAGGGCCCAGACTGTCCAGTCGGGTACACGGAGGCCAGGATGGTGAGAGAGTAGCGGGTGTCCAGTGTCCTGTCGTTTGGGATCTCTATGTAGGAGTTACTGTTGCCGGACAAGACGTAGGAACCTTCGGGCTCACCGTACACACCGGTACCAAGAGCCACGCCCTCACCGGTGGCGTCATTTCCGTTTCCGGTCGTGTCCGTCAGACTGTACTGCTTGGTGAGACGCCACAAACCGACCGGCTGTGCTGCTGCTAGGAAAACGTTAAAGATAGATACAAGTATTATACTTCCTCGGGCGTGAACCAAACACCAGATTATGCCCATTAGTATCCGTAAAGAAATTCTATTAAAACAGCGTATTTACTTACTGTCTACTTTAAATTTATAATCTAATTGTTTTCACCCAGTGGAACGGCGCAAACCTGTAGTGGATTAAACCTTACAAATTTACTAATTACAATTTACTGGCTTCAGGTTTAATACTTTAAAAGAACTATGTGCAGACCCAATTTTTGGAAACCTCGTCACTATATGGGTCCGTTAAAGGCATCCAATGCATATGCGATTTCATGGCAGCAAAAATTGAAATATTCTAAATAAGGTACTCTTTATGATAGTCACATATACAGCTTCACATTAGCAAATTTGAGTCAGTATTTTTTATACCTTGGGCTTTTACAACTGCAGAAACAAACCCCAAGATGAGTCCTTTATTTTCTGGGAGATACCCAAAAAATAGCCAATGGCCCTTCCAGTAACCATTTTCCATCAGAATTTTGCTCCAAGAGGGTCAATGTACATTGGGATAGTGTGGTTTCAACTCAACATGTAGATAAACAACTAGAATATTGACTTTGTAAAATCTGGTTTCCAAGCCCTAAAAACTGCACTGGATGCCTTTAAGCTCCTGCCACAATTCTACGACCTCCTTCCGATTTTCTTCCCGAAAACTATCCGAACATTCTTGGCTGTCGGCAGGGAGTGGTCTGACCAAATTTAGTCCACGCTTTTTCATTCGTATCAAAACGATTTTGAATGAAATTAAAGTCGAATTAGATCCCAAAAAATGCTGAAAAATTCTGATTGGTGTGCTTGTGTTATGCTGACTTGCTAGTGTTTGGGGATGTTTTTTTGTGGGGGGGGGGGCAAATTTGCGTATGTACGACGGGGCCTTTAGTGGGCAATGCCATTGCCGTTTCCGCACTTGTTTGACAGGTACTAGTGTATCTTTTTTTTTTTTCTTTTTTTCTTTTGTATATTCCGAAACATGTAATCACAAGACGTGGTGACAGCACACTCAAGTTTTTTCAACTTATATTAATGCCGCCACCAACACAGGGACAGTACAATACTCATTTACACCTGAGTGAAGTGAGGAAAGTCGTGTAAAGTGCCTTTCCCAAGGGCACAAGATCGGTGGCATGTCAGGACTCGAACCCGGGGCCACTGGTTCCGAGTCGAGAACGCTGCCGCTACGCCACACGACCCCACCAGTGTATCTTTGCTATCGTTTAATCACAAGTAAAGCCAAACTACTGACCTGTACATTTTCTTGCTGCATCCCTGATCTGATCACCGTTTAAAGGGATGTTGTAAATCTGTATACAGGCGATTCGTCCCTCAAAAGCCCGGGCATCCCCGTCTCTGTACCCCACCCGGATGTCGTACTGAGTCTCTGTCTCAATCGCGCCGACTTCAACACTTCCTACTTCTATCCCGTCATGCCACCCTTTGAGCTTCCCAGTAGGGTAGCTGTAGGTCAAGCCGACGAAGTTCCACTGGTTTAGATTCAGTGTCGCCACTTCTGTGTAATTCGTATAAAAGTGGTCACGGTTCGCCATTCTAGCGGGGAAGCAAATGGGAACATAAAATCATGGATGCAGTCATATAAGTATAAGTATTTTAAAATATATTCATATATTATACATGTCTTTAAAAATTATACTATAAAACTATAAAATATATTAGATAAAACATAAAATATAACATATGCTAAACAAGTACAAAATTAAATTAGCATGTCAGCTTGCATATATGAGAGAGAGAGAGAGAGAGAGAGAGAGAGAGAGTTTTTTCGCAACATTTAAAAATACACTTAAACAGTTCACAGCTGTCACACATATTCAGCTAAGTCGATTTGGCTGAATTGGGTGAAACATAACATAGGAGCAATTATTCATACATTACAAACAATAAAACCATCTTAAATACTACTGTATAAATATATATTCCTATGGATAGTAGTACACTGAAAAGTAACCCAAATACCTTGCATATAATTTGTTTGTTTCTTGTTGCCAAAGATGAACGCCGTAGTTGTTGATTCTGTAGTTAACAATGGGCCCATCTGTCCCTGTGGGGTACACATAGGCCAGGATTGTCACCGAATAGCGGGTGTCCAGTGCCCCGTTGTTGGGGATCTCGATGTAGGAGGTGCTGCTCCCGGAAAAGTTGTACGCCCCTTCGCTCTCACCGTGTACACCATTATCAAGGGACACGCCCACACCGGTTGCGTCATTTCCGTATCCGCTGACGTCACGCAGCTGGGTGTGCCTGTTCAGCGGCCAGAAGCCAACGGGAGCAACTGTGGATATCAAAATATTACATAGTTGTGTTAAAAGAAATAACCTCGTGGTATTATCGTCCCGGTATATCACTAATCAGACTGATTATGATAAAACCGTTTGAAGTGTTTTTGGGGGGCGGGGGGGTCATATTATCAGGTGACGTTGACCAATCAAAACACCTTGTTTATATTGATTATAACACAGTCACTATAACGTGATAAGTAGCCTGATACAAGTGTTGCAAAATCAGCATAGTCTATTTCATATCTATCAAGGAGTCATTAATTGCGAGATAAAGACCACTTGGCCATGATGTAAGTAAACCATTATACAGGAAGACTGGGCTTTTACAGTCTTGCCATTAACTAATTCAGTAAGCTTGTGAAAATAAAGACCATCTCGATACATTTTAATTTTGGACGGAAATAGATCAAGGAACTAGAAAGGCCGTCATTAAATCAAGAGCAAATACAGTACATTTCACCCATTCTTCCTGCTCATTCCAAATCTTTTCCAGAAAGGCCAACATTTGCTCAGGAGCAAATGAAGCATGGCTTCACCACATCCCCCGTACAAAAAAAATTCCCTCTCCCGAAGAAATGGATTGTTCCTAAGGGGGCACACGCCAGTATATTTTGGGTCTCAATATTCGATTCTGCATACCCTCAAATCTAGCGACCGTCTCTTTCAGGAAATAGATCTTAAGCCAAAACATTGTGTTTGCAAATGACGGACCTCCTTCTAGCTACGAGAACAATAGAATTTCAATTTCCTTTACTTCTCACATTTTAGTAAATTGAAAGGAGCGTTTTCGTAGGTGGGTATGACATAAATAAAATACAACACTTTTTTCCGCATCGCCCGAGGTATCGGCCCGACTGCGAGTCTTCTATGAATCCGGGTGTATTTTATTATTATCATTATCAATGTATCATATTTTCCAGACCAAAGGCAAGATTAGCAGTGATCTAAAGGGAAAGTGGTCTAAGTACCTTCTCCGACGTCTGCCCTCATGGCGACCCACCTATTCCATGTGACGACGTGAAACTTGACGTAACGGGCGTGGAAAGGTCCGCTGTAGTCCGTCAACACGTGCGTCACCAAGCTGCTGCTGTTACTGTTACCAGTGAACACCTAAGGAATTAATACAACATGGTTTCGATTCAGTCGACTTTTGCAAAACCTATGATTTTTAATATTACATGTAACTCTGGGGTCGTTTGGCGCAACGGCAGCGTGCGCGACTCGGAATCAAGAGGTCCCGGGTTCGAGTCCTGACATGCCACCGATCTTGTGCCCTTGGGAAAGGCACTTTACACGACTTTCCCCGCTAGACCCAAGTGAAAATGAGTATTGTCTTTCCATTATTCGTTTCTATGTGAGGGACACAACACCAGCACCAGCTGCCTCTGTTCCGCGTGTATTGCACTGTTGCAATTTTGATAAATCAAATAAAAAGGACTCTTCGGTTGCACAACACAAGCAGACTTACAAACACCAACCAGGAAAGAAGGTCACCTTTCTGGAAAAAGGGATCAGATGGTTTGAACGAGAAGTTTAAAAAAACTGTTCGCATCAGGTCCCGCTCGTCGTCCCCTAACCGTGCCCAAGGATGCCACAGGCTCCCACCTGGGTGACCCTTGACACCTTGGTCACGTGAACCCTCTTATGAGCTGATGGAAGATGGCGGATGCCAGCTGAAAGCTTCTCATAGCTTAAAACATTCGTCGTACGTACTAGTTTCTTAATTTTACAAATATATATCATAATACCTTCCTCGGCTGCATAGAATCAAACTTCCTCGTCTGCGCGAAAAAAAAGCTGCCTCGTCTGCACGGAAGAATATGTGTCACACCCTGCCTTGTTGAAGAATGGACGCCTAAAAAGTTGATTCCCGTTTTTTCTGGGGTTTTGTCTACGATCTCTGTCCCGTTATAAAATCACTTTTATTTACTCATAAAAAAGACTCTATCAATGTGCTTTAAATCGTTTATTGCAATGTTGGACAAATTGTAGTGCTGTTCGATGACACAATAGTGGCGTATTTGTTAACTTCAATTTCAAATTTGTTTTTGGACTTTTTTCAGTATTGAACATTCAGAATAGTGCACGTGGAATATAATTTTTTTTGGATTCAGAAAAGCCCGTGCTCTAAAGTTGGGGAAAAAATCCTGCATTCCCGGGTTTGCTGCCCTCCTGCCAACGGAGATGACGTCAAATCTAACTTCTAGTAGATCATCGAACAGCACTACAATTTAGTTATAGTTTTTTAGTAAAGATTGTTTACTCACTATCGTGTCTCCGTTCGCATCTTTATACCACATTTCGTCTCCGCTGGAGTTTCCGTACGAAATACTATATGACGTCACCCAGCTGTAATACTGAGTTGATTCCCGTCCCTGGGTCCTGAGGACGCCGACGGATGACCTTTGGCCAAGGTCAAACATCAGCCACTGATCGGCGTTATTTTCGCCAGCTGACCACGCTCCGGTAACCGTACCGGTAACTTCCTGGTTGAAGTTCAGACGGGCGTAGGTAGGTGAATGGTCCCCGGACCCGTGCTCCGATGATGCTGTAATGGTAGCTATTTTAACAAAAAAAAAACCATATCGTTAAAATGTAATAAACAGCGGAATAAAGTGGTGTTATGCACATAATGTTAACTTATCTTTGCGTTATCACTCATTCAGAAGAAGAATGAAAAGACAATTAGACCTCAAAAAGTCCCAAATTAGACAATTTTAAGAGAGAGTATGCAAAAAAAAATTATCATATATTGTTGATGGTAGGTACAATATATATAAAGCATACCCACACCACATTTCAGATGATTGGGGTCCGGGTGTAATACTAGGTTTCTAGGAACCCTAATTGTACAGATATTGTCAGAAAATGGTAAAAAAAGCAAATAAAAGTTCTTAGATGTCTGTATCCGAAAATGAAAAAAAAAAACACCTCCATGTGAAATTTTGAGGTCATTTGGCTGGAAAATGGAATAGTTGAATCCATTTAAAAATGGTAGGAGAAGGAGGAGGAGAAGATGAAGAAGAAACACCAGAGAACAGCAAAAAGGCCGACATTTGCGTTGGAGCAAATGCAGCATGGCTTCACCACAATTTAAGGAGATTAAGCCCAGGCCACTTTTCTTGACGAGTATAAGGTTTACACATTTTGTGACTCTTGCTTGTCTGTACTTATGATATTATAACAATAAGCCGAAATGGGCCAAAATTCAACCCTTTCTAACTCTCGTCAAAACTACCTACATATCAATTCGAGATAGACATACACGCACACACACACACACACACACACATACAAAGACACACACACACACACACACATATACTTGCACTCACTCACTCACGCACACACACACACAAACACACACACACACACACACACACACACAAACACACACACTCACACTACCATAAATTATTACCTTCGTGAAGGTAATATAACAAAATAAAGTCATTGTGGTTCGGTCATATGGAAATTGTAATTTTGGTAAATAAACCGTAAATGCAGCTAGCTACATGTAACTGCTCAGTACTGCTGTACACATAATTAATTAGGGAGAGTTTACCTATTCTTCCGGCCCTGTATACAGAAATGCGGTAAGAACCGCCGCATATTTCTGCCGAGTTCCCGGAACATGCCCTGTTACATTCAGAATCGGGCCTGGCTGTTCCTCTGTTGGCGAAGTCGAGGTCAGTCCCACAAAAGCACTGAGTTCCAACTTGCACTCCTAAACAAAAGTGGCGATTATCATCGAGACAACAATCATGACAGAAAATTTGAAAAAAAAATCGTTTAAACTAGAATTCCGAGATCTCATACCTCCATGAAATATGATCTTGATATGTAAATGTAAATTTCTTCTTTAATTGTGCAAATGACCTCTGCATTAACATGATGTATGCATCGTGATGTATGTTAACTTTTGATTAACTTACAGATGTCCCAAGTATGACATTCTCATCATTCACCACTACGAACTCATAGAATTTCCGCATTAATTATGCAAACTAGGTCATCATTTGCATAATTAGTATCTGTTGAAGTTCCACCTGCCATAGGTTACATACATTACATGTATGTAAGTAGTATAATGTAAAACACTGTAATTATAGAATTTCCTCATTAATTATGCAAATTAAGTCCTCATTTGCATAATTTGCATTTAATTATGTACATCTCTCTCTCAGCTACCTACACACCAAAAATAATGAAAATATGCTGTTCCTGTCTGGACTTATCGCATTAATTATGCAAATTAGGTCATCATTTGCATAATTTGTATCTGTTGAAGTTCCGCCTGCCATAGGTTACATACATTACATGTATGTAAGTAGTATAATGTAAAACACTGTAATTATAGAATGTCCTCATTAATTATGCAAATTAAGTCCTCATTTGCATAATTTGCATTTAATTATGTGCATCTCTCTCTCTCTCAGCTACCTACACACCAAAAATAATGAATATATGTTGTTCCTGTCTGGACTTATTGGCTTTTAAACATTTTGCCAGAAAGTGCACTGCAGTTCAAGAACAAGCCGCTAGGGGGCCCAAACTCATATGATTTCTTCCCAAGCACGAGAGCTACCTTCCATCAAAATTTCATGACCCTAGCATGTCCAGATCGCGAGATATCAAAACCGGAAGTTGCGCTGCAGTACCAAGGGAAGCCACTAGGGGGACCAAAATCTAATCATTTCTAGTTTTCGTCACACCCTACCAACACACCAAGTATGAAACCAATTCATCCAGGCGTTCTTGTGTTATTTTGTTGACCAACAGACGGACGGACAGACGGACAGATAAACGCAACTGAAACTAGAATTCCGAGATCTCATACCTCCATGAAATATGATCTTGATATGTAAATGTAAATTTCTTCTTTAATTGTTCAAATGACCTCTGCATTAACATGATATATGCATCGTGATGTATGTTAACTTTTGATTAACTTACAGATGTCCCAAGTATGACATCATTCTCATCATTCACCATTACGAAATCATAGAATTTTTACTTTAATTATGCAAATTAGGTCATCATTTGCATGATTAGTATCTGTTGAAGTTCCTCCTGCCATAGGTTACATAGTATAATGTAAAACACTGTAATTATAGAATTTCCTCATTTATTATGCAAATAAAGTCCTCATTTGCATAATTTGCATTTAATTATGTACATCTCTCTCTCAGCTACCTACACACCAAAAATAATGAAAATATGTTGTTCCTGTCTTGACTTATTGGCTTTTAAACATTTCGCCATAAAGTGCCCTGCAGTTCCAGAACAAGCCGCTAGGGGGCCCAAACTCATATGATTTCTTCCCAAGCACGAGAGCTACCTTCCTCCAAAATTTCATGACCCTAGCATGTCCAGATCGCGAGATATCAAAACCGGAAGTTGCGCTGCAGTACCAAGGGAAGCCACTAGGGGGACCAAAATCTAATCATTTCCAGTTTTCGTCACACCCTACCAACACACCAAGTATGAAACCAATCCATCCAGGCGTTCTTGAGTTATCTTGTTGACCAACAGACGGACGGACGGACAGATAAACGCAACTGAAAATATAACCTTCATGACACATTTCATGGAGGTAAATATAACCTCCATGACACATTTCATGGAGGTAAAAACGCCATGTGATGGAGAGGCAAGAAAACAAAACTCCATATATATTTTCATATATATTTATGTTATTTTCACTTCGGCAGAATCAGAACACTGGCTATAGCTAGAGCCTGACGTTTAGACTAATGAATTGATTGTAGCAAGCTGAAGGCTAGCAATAAAATATTTTCTAAAGAGTGATACAAACTATGTTCCGGCACGAATGTATTACGTGACTCACCGAAGTAGATGAACCCGTTTCCCTTGCAGTGCAGCCCGCAGGACTTGATGCTGTTGTCGTCAGTCGTGATGACTTCCCACGGGAACACGCGGTCCTCCAGGGTGTCCACATAGCACCCCATGTACTCCACTAGAGGGAAGAAGCACAACATTGACATTACTAAAACTATTAACAAGAATTCGGAGATCTCATACCTCCATGAATGAGATTTTATAAATGTTTTTACACAGTACGCTATAGTACACAACAAAATAACACAGCTAATACAGTAGCACCTTTTGCCTGAAATAGGTCAGGCTGTAATAGATATGGTCAACTGTACATGTGCCTATTCCAGAGGGAGATCCTAAAAAACCAAACCGTGCTGCCTCTACACGTGTTTTGCGTTAGAGGAACTCCTTGACAGCTTGTGTTTTGTTGCATATCCCGCAAATCTGTTTTCCCTGCCTTGCAAAAAGATACAAAAAACGAAAGTTCTGCTGCAGTACCAAGGTCAGCCACCAGAAGGCCAATATTTGACCCTGACCTCTGGCTTCCTAAGACCTACCAGCATACGAAATATCATTACAATCCATAAAGGCGTTCTGAATTCATGCTGACTACAAATGTGCGGAAACACACACACACACACACACACAGACGCGCCAAAAACAATACCATTTTTCATGGAGGTAAGTACGATGAAACATTGGCAATTAATCCTATCTAGGCTGGGTTTCTTGGGGATTCGTGGGGCTGTGTGTGAGAGGGGGAGGGGGGCTCATCCCCCCCCACCGAACTCGTAAGCGGTATACTTATCGTATGACCCACAAATTATAGAGGATGTATAAGCAATAATTAATCATAACATTTTTGATATAATTTTGACGTAATATAACATTATAATGACGTCATTCATGTGATTTTATTGCCTAATGCGGGCTGAAATTATTTGTCCTTTAAGAGACGTGTAATACCTCCATGAATGGCCTCCAAGTAGATGGTCAGGAGCCACAGGACCAGCGCAGCGGTGAAGCGGCTGAACATGGTGCTTCTGGTGACACTCCTGCAGCTGGGGTTAAAATACAATACATGTTTGTTGAACCCTCAAACCACAGTAAGTTTTTTGTGACGAATCTTACCCTATTGACTCCAAACTGACCCCCATTATGTTTTGCATGAGTTTAATCAACTTGTTACTCTCTTTTTTGTGATTTTTGAATAGGTATATTATAGTTTCAGTAATCTATGAGGGACAATTTGACATTATTAGGTAGGAAGAAGTGTTAAAGGATTCACAAGTGTTAAAAATGCTGGGGTCAGTTTTGACCCCATTGGACCACACATAAACTCTCAAGGACAACCCAATAAACAATGTTCCAATCTCAGTAAAAACGTATGAGACGTTATACCACATTTGAAAATGCAACATATTTATAGACGCCTGGAGTCAGTTTTGACCCTATACGGTGGTTTAAGGGTAATGTTCTGACGCCAATTTATTCTTTTGGTTCTGTATAATTAAATTCAGCTAGGAAAGCCCATCTAAGTGGCAGGGCACCACTTTATAACGGGACCCTGGAAAGCATGATAGTGTCTATAAACCTTCTTCAAAACCAAAATATCAAAATGGATGTTGCGAAAATATTCCAGGAATGTCATTATGTTGTAATACAATTGAGAGATATCTTATGTAACCCCAAGAATAACCGGTACCATATGTGAACACACACTCAAAACACTCATGGTGTGCAAGTCTCGAGCCCAATCTCAATCTTTGCAATGATAAGAGTCTGTAGTCATAAGTTGTATATTAGAATGGAAAGATGTTATGAAGCTATCAGTGACCAGAGTCTTTTTTCCCCATTTTGAACGTCACTTTGACGGTGAAAAACGCTTAAAGCTGATTTGATAATTCTGTACACTCCATTTTATACATAAATATATTTGTACATTCTGGAAGGAAATAACCTGCATTGTGTACAAATATTGTGTCAAAGGACAAGGTAGGTAGTGTACAAATATATCGAAGAATGTTTAGAATTTACAGCCAGTAGTCTAAGTGATACGTCAATCTCATCATGTTGAGTTATTTATATACATGTGTACCTGTACGTAGTTGAATTAATTTAAGTCCACTTGTTTGTTTGCATGATTAGTTGTATGAGACCTTTATGTTACGAAAGCCTCTGTAATTTTTGTTTAAATTAAGATTGTTGTTGTTGTATAACTTGTCCGGAAAGACCAGTACAGATTGAGGAGTCGGAACGTATACGTACTTTAAAGGTACGTACGTACGTAGGCTTCAAGGCAAAAACTACTTTTCATATGCATGAAACCAATTTATAGCTATGTGTTTAGCGATACAGGCACACGGCATGCTTTGAATTTATCACAGTTGGCAGATTGCCAGTGGGTTATCATAATTATAATAATCACTCTCTCTCCCGCCCCACTTTCTCGTCCTGATCGATCAATGACAGCATTTTGACAGAATTTGGTACGTTTCGGCCACCTATTGTGGTAAATTTCTAAAATCCGGCTCATTCTAAGTTCGATATTTTATTGCCATCACAATACCTTCATTCGAAAATAACACATTTCGCAGCTTCCCTCAACCTATTTCATGTCATTTCTCTATCCCATCTTCTCACATTTTCTTCCCTGTGATATTATCGCAGTAGTATCAATTACATCAGGTAAGTGTATAAAATCAGAATCACAACATAAAAGGTAATACTATAGAACTGTGTTACTGTTTTCCTATGCCTGAAGTCTTTATCATATCGATCTGTTTCTGTACATAAGTTGGTATACGTTTTACTATAACCACCTTTCGGCGTAACACACTAGCGTCCCGGGTACGGGGCGCAGCGGCAGCTGGCTATATTACACCAAATGACCTGTTACACATAGCGTTTTCACATCTAACTCTAAACAGCTATCTAGTGATACTGGTCCTATTGTATTTGTTGGCAGCGAGTTCCACTCTACGATAGTTCTGGGGAAAATGGGTTTGTGAACACCTCAATCTTTTTTATCTTATTTAAACTAGGCGAACACCTTAATCCTTGGTTGACTATATCTTGTTCTTTCCTAAGATTGTATTAGGTAGTAGTTAGTACGTCTACCAGTTTGTTCACCATTTTTTGCATTATGCATAGTCAGGACATTTTTCGCCTGCCCAGTGACACCCACTGGCTACCACATTCCCAGTAACCACACATAGGCCTTTTAATTGCTATAATTATATAGCGAGTGACCTGAGTCTGTTTTTTTAGGCTTTTGGCAGTGGACAGTAAGGTCATTCTACTAACACTTACTACTGTTTATGTAGTAGGCACTAGCCTCCTTTGCAGACGTTCTGGGATCGGTCATCTGTTGGTTTTTTT